TTCTTTTCAGGATTTAGCTTGAAGTAAATTGCCTGTGAATGGGAAAAGAGTGGCGCACCTGACAGAAAACCTTCAAGTGATTTTTTGTCTCTTCAATGCTGCATATATATAAGAAGCACTTATACCTCTCCATAAAGCCTTGCTTATGTTACACCCACTTCTGCCTTCAGCTGTGATTTACTCTGAATCCTGCCTCACTTGCTGTAAAATGCTCTGTCTGCCAGTAACACCTCAGTGAAATCTCCTTTAAGTAAAGCATTCTTGCACCTACGCTGTTGCTCAGAAAGCAGCCATCTGGTCTAATTCAACTCTATTTTAAGCTCTTGAATCACATGACTTACATCCACATAAGTGTTGATTGTACATGATTGCCTTTATTGATTCCTGCTTGGACTAAACTTACTTCAGAGCCTCCATCCAACTTTAGCAAGAATTCTCTTGATTTTTTTCCCACATTCTTTTCCTTTTGGGCTTAATACAAAATCATTCCCTCTTCTTTTCTAATGCTAAGTCTACAAAGATATTGAAGAGTTGAATCATCTGATGATTACCCTGATCATTTGATTTCCTCATCTTTTAGCATGTCTGTACCCATCTATCATTACTACAACCCTCTGAAAATGAATCCACTCCTTTGTGCTTGTCAACTGCTTCATTACAATCTCTGTCTCAGGACCGGAGTTAAAGACACTGACTTCTGGAAACTCTATCAGACATAGAGCCTGTCTATTCCTCCTTCATGCTTTTCATGTTGGTCCCTCCTTCACCGCTCATTCTGCTGCCTTCCTCCCATTACACTTTTTTCCCACCCTATACATAGCTACACATTTTAAAAAACAGACTTCTAACTTAACCTTGGATCAACTTTGACCACTACAAATTATAAATTTCTTGAGTGAGCAGTGGTTAACTCATTTTAAGAATGTCCCAGTAATTCTGAATCTCACTGTGGAAAACCACCCTATCTTGTATTTTCAAGCTTTGAATAATTATTTCTTTTGTTATCTCTTTGTTAATGGAGATTCTAAAAGATAGACATCTTTCTAATCTTTGTGTGCTTCTGATGATCTTGTGTATCTTAATATTTGCACAGATAATCATCTGCACAGTTGCTGACAATGTCCTCCGTTAAAATATACTGTTTTCTTGATCCCTTTTCTCTATCTCTTGACTCATTCATTCATTCAAGGTCCACTTCAAGATCCTCACAGCCATCATCTGTAACTCATGCTTCTTTGCCAAGCCCCCACTGTATTCATCGTCTGTGGCAAGTGCTGTAGAACTCAACACTGAACAATTATTTATAATTTAGGCATTTTCATCTAACTACCTAGAAGTGTTGTAACAATTCTTTGTTCAGTTTTTACAAAATTAGTTTCAACATTCAGTGCTTAATAAATATTTGCTGCTTGTTTTCTTAATGCATAGCACTGTGACCTGCATTTAAATCAATATAATGATCCCCTTACTGAAGACCAGATATTCGCCAAGTATTGCTTCAGGTGTTGTGTTTGTATGAGCATGCTCTGTGAAACGTTTAGGAAGGATTTCAGTGCCAAAACCAGATGATGTGTAAATTATCCCCCAAAGAGTTTTATCATTAAGAAAATTATAGCGACCACTGGGAGTTAATCCATCTGTCTGCTGGAGAGTGTTGTCTTGTCCAACACTTGCAAGTAAAAAGCACTTGTCAGAAAAAATACTCCTGAGCTAGAATCCAGAGAGATCAGGATACTATTTGGGTCAATTTCCATTCTGCAAGCTCAAAAATCATCTTACAATCAGTTACTGATGATGCTGCTGGAAGCAACAATCTCTGCTGACCAAACAGACGATCATTATTTTGAAGCTCAAACTGCACCAAGCTGCAACAAAAACCCCTTCTGAAACTTTTAGTATGTATTAGTATTAAAAAATATTGACACAAGACCCAGGAGAATTGGGACTTAGTCATGTTCCCCCTACTTGTGTGAGCTTGAGTAAATGAGTGCATGACTTTAGCCCTCTGTAGCTTGACTGAAATTGGAGAGAAACTGTGAAGAGCAGGTTGGGAGGACCGTGCTTTAACCCTCCTTCAGGTGAGAGATTCAGTCTTCTGGTTACAGCTGCAATGTGTAAGCCAGGCTTAAAAGCAAAAGCAAAAAATAAAAACAACACTGCATCCCTTGTTGTTTTCAGGAACCACTAAGAAATATTCTCCTTTCATTTTGGAGATGATTGGATAGTGGCGAAAGATTGGAAATATTTCTGTCCATAGTTTCTTCTTTATGGAGGCATTGGTAACAGAGAATGGTAGACAGGTATAGCAAACAGAGGCACCAGTTTGGAGAAGAACGTCTTTCCCTTAATTTGTCACACAAGACAAAATATATGTACATATATTCAGGGCCATGCAATTCATTTAAAAGTACAAGAGTTCTGACAGACTCACTCTATAATTATGTAAATATAATGGTAAAGTAACAGAATCATTATAGTATCAACTACAGGTTTCATCAGTTAGTTAATTAGCATGGCCTCAGCTTCTAGGAAAATATGAATTATGAAAAATGAAAATCTTACTCTCTGGCAACTAATGCATGCATTGAAATTTCAGGTGTCCTTATTAACTTACTAAAAATTAATGGATAGTGCCTAGATAATAGGTATCATGGCAAAGATATTGATGAGGTTTAAAAATCTGAAGACATGTCATTTAACTTTCTGTTATCTCACACAGTTCTATGCTATTACTATCAATTCACATTTATGAGCCTCAGTTTCCTGTAGTCTATGAAAGGAAAAGGCATAGGTATAATGATAAATTAATAAAATATGCATATATGCACATGTATGTGTGTATGCAAACTGAGAATTTAGAAATAAGGCTTGAAATATACATACAAAGCATATATAGGAATACCACATTTGTGGAATGGCTCCAAACTGGAACTTTCCACTACTTGAACAGAAAAATTAAAAAAAGAAATCTACTCAATGTTTGCAACTTTGTTCCATAATCAAACTGAAAATCTGATTTGAAAATCTGTTGCACTGCCTAGAATGAAAGTGAATCCACCCCTTGCAACTTGGTCTAGATACAAAGGGAAAGTGCTGCAACCTAAACCAGACACTGCACAGTGCTTGTGTTAGTGTGCTAACAATTTGTTATTATGTTTGTGTGTTGTGCTTCATTTGCATAAAATACTGTAATCATGGAAAGAAGGTTAGTGATACCAGCAGTAAAGCAAAGAGGAAAATTGTAACTACCATGACAGAGTTAACAAAAGAAATTACAAAAAATTGTTGAAGTCCTGGAAAATATGAATTTATAAGTATAATTTTGGACTTGGAACTGATTTTTTGGTTTTCCACTATTTCTTATGAGGAAAAACTGATTCATTCTTGAACTATTTGGTGTTCCAATATGCATTGAGCAAAAAATTGAGCTTGACTATGGAGGTATTACTGAATTATTATACTGACAATACTTCTTAAATACCATCAGGCAGATGCATGAGTAAAGTCCTTACTAAAACAGTCAAAGTTTGGGTAGCCAAGATTCTTTTCACTGATCTAAGGTTAATGAGATCCAAATGTTAATAGATCACAGTAATTTGACTAAAATAGTGATGCCTGTGGTGAGAATTGTGAGAATATAAAGTGGAAAGAGAATATAGAATATTCCTCGACAAGGGTGCTGGCTTGAAAATGACACACGATAGGCTGGAAATCATGGTCTCCATGTTTCTCAGCTCCTCTAATAAGAGATGTAATCTGTGGACCCAGCTTTCGCCCAGGCCTTTTTTGTTTGTTTTCTTTATCCAACAGACCAGGGTGGAATAGGTTGTTGACTTCTGGAACCTGGACATAAATGGCTACAGCTTCCACACCTACACTCTGAAAATGTTGTTGTCGTCCTGGATAAAGGCTGAGGCTGCATTATTGAATGGTAAGAGATCCATGGGGACAAACAAAAGTCCAGTGCCGAAGTCCCAAAAGCAAGTGTGAATGAGTCCGTCATATGCATTTCTACTGTCCTAGCTGCCTGATGCCATCTGACATCAACACATGAATGAGCCCATGTTATTTTTAAGCATGAAATTTTAGGGTAACTTATTACATAATAGGAGAGTGGCCACCAGAGCTGCCCTTGCATCCACTTAACCCAACGTTTGGTCAGCATTTCACCCTGTACACCAGTGCTCCATGCCTCGTCTCTTTCATTAAGTGCCACTGAGCTAAAGAAGATGAAACCACTCTGAATGAAAACTAAATTATAAAATGAAGGGAAGACAAACTTGTATGGTCATAATTAATGTTCCTCTTTCACTGTTCTTATAATATTTACTTAAAGTTCTTGAAAATTGTCATGCAGTAAGTCTCAGAGTTAACTTTGGACTCACAAGCCCACTTCCATCCCACGTGCAAAGCAGACCATTCCTGTAGTTGTTCATTCATTGGACACATATAATGTCCAGAAATGCACCTTGACCAAATAATAGAAAAGTACAAAGATGTTTACTTTCCCTGGAACAATTTCAGATCCCCACATCACACTCCTATCTCAGTGTCTAAGGGTTGTGTCCCCAGTGCCCAGAGAAGTGGCCTGTCCGTCCCTCCAGCTCCATTATCCTCCCTGCTCTGACTCAGTCATAGCATGCTTTCACTTTATGTTCCCCACATGCTCCTCCTTCGTTTACACATGCTGCCTCTTCCCTCAATTTCCTCTCCTGGACCTCATTTTCTGCTGTTTTAACTTCCACATTTGGTTCTACACATGCTTCATCAATAAATCTCTCCCACTCATTTATCTCCCTGAGTATCTCCGATTCTGCTTCCATCACTGTGAATTTTGAGAAAGTTCCTTTTTCAGAGTATGCTTTGGCATCTAGAGAAAGTGCTCTAAAACTTTCTGGTTTTATTCCAATGACTCAATCACCTCTGCTCCACTTGCTCTCACAAATCTCTTGTTTCCCATTCAGCTGTTTTCTACCCATCCCCAGTAGCAGAAATCTTACCAGAGGAGTCTCCTAGCTTCGTGTAGTTCATTTTTTTTCTTGGCATAGGGATCTATCAATTTCTGTGCAAAAACAAAACAAAACAAAACAAAATGATAAAATACGAAATAACAATGAATTGCCAAAATATTGATACATCTAGACTCTGTTAAACTTATGTTGAAAACTTATTTTTAATTTATCTAAAAATAAGTAATTAATTCAGAATTCTGTAGTGTTTCAATGTCTAAGCATATAGAGATACTGCATTGTGCTGGGGGGAGCCTACTATGTACAGGAACATCCAACTCCTCAAAGGATTCAAAAACAAGTACATGACAATAAAGTTGAAAATAGCTTTTATATGATATTTCTAAAGACAAAGCTGTTGCAAAAGAAGCCGTGGCATGGAAGATTAAATCAACCACTAATATCCTAAAAATTGCTTAACAAGATATCTAATCTGGGTTTGTGCTAGCACATCATTTTGGGCAGAGAAGTTAGAAAAAGGAAACACTTTATCTTTGAATATAGTTGCTTACCAAAACCCTGTATTATTATATTGACAAATATAATGGTAAATAATGTAATACTGGAATATTTTTACTCCTCCCTTGATTCCTAGCCTGTCTCCTCCTCATAGAACATAACTTACACAAAATTCTCCATTGTGATGCTTCTGCTCTAGTTACAGTGGTGGAGTTGAGGAGATCCAAAAATCTAACCACAAAGATTCTAGAGCTTTCTGAAATAGAATTTGAGACAGTTTTTGGTCTTATAAGCTCATACTCAAGAGAGTGACCACAGACAACTTTGAGTCTCTGAGAAGTCCATGCCAAAAATGTTTAAAACCCTCCACTCCAGACACACAACCTTACAAGATCCAGACTCTTAAGCTCAGTAAATCTGGTTTTGCATTTTAAATTTTCAGTCTGTAAAGTGAATGAATTTCCTACAACTATGTAAACACTCATTTTGGTTTTTGTTTTTGTTTTGATGTTAGAGTTCTTGTTGCATACACATAGTTCAAACATTCTTATGAGTTCACACATAAAATGGCATCAAACTCTTATTCTAGACACAGCCTTGCAAATGTGCTTGGATGCAAAGGTTTGACTTACAAGATGAGATTTGTAGCTGCAAAGCGAAAATAAGCATCTAGATAGTTCCAGAGAAGTTTTTAATGCTTCCTCCCAATTGTGTCTATGAACTATGTCTTTTTCTTTGTCTACACTCTCAATCTTCTTTTTCAGGGTTTCTTTTCATCTCTTTGCTCAAGGGTACAACTGTCCATATAAACCTCTGCAGTAAAAGGAATGCAACTTTGAATACAGTCCCTTCTTGTCTATTTTTTACATAGGTCTTTGTAGCATATTCTTCCTAGCTTAATTTCTAGTGAACTTTATTACAGTCACCCCCCTTGATAAAATCTTAATTCTCCTATAACTTATATAATATCAACAGGTTATTGTGATTTAACTCTTTGTTCCCTTTAAAAATAATGTTGAAAATTAACTGCCTTGTTAGCAGTATTAAGGGAAAGGGACTAACAGTGCTGTGTAGGTCATGGAACCACCACTTTCTGAATTGCTGTTATCATGAAGTGGGCTAAGGTTTTCATGGTTCCTTGTATGTGTACCCATCCGTTAATCCTTCCTTGTATGACATAGCAGAGTGGCTAAATGCTGCTGGACTTCTTGGGCCAAATACAGCTCTATATGTTATACCTCACCTAGACTCAAGTATTCTGTTATAACAACAGAAAATGGACTAACAAAGTGGACAAATACCCACTGCAGTTAAACCTATTCTTTTGCCTGTTTAGTGTCTGTATCTAAGCAACTGATAGAGAGAGTATAAATTTTTACCACCTACTTGGGAAACAATTTGGCATTATCCCTAACTTGTGTCTACTCAATGAGCAAGCAGCTTCATTCCCAGGCAACTAACTCAGAGAAATTGCACATGCACATCATGAGATATGTATGAGAAAGGCCATAGAGCACTTTTATAACAGCAAACCCAATGAAGATCTATATAGAGAATGGAAAGAAACAAATCCTTAAACCACAATATGTGCATAGCTAATAAATATAGCATGGAACAAAATTAAGTCACAGAAAAACACATTCAGTATATTATAATGTTCATAGCCAGGCAAACTAAGTAGTATTGGGTTTAGGACAACATGCATTGGCCAAAAAATATATACTCAAAACACCTACACACACATAGAAGTGAAACAGAATTCATAGTGAGTATGTCTGCAAGAAGGAAGAGGAAAGAGGAAAGTTGCACAATTACTGACAACATTCATTTCAATTTCTTAAGTGGTTTCAGTTTAACAAACAACCCCAGACTTCAACTTGGTCTTCCTCTTGTTATCTAGAGATCTCATCACATTTCTCCAGCCAATTAATTGATAATCCCAGTTTTAGGTGAATATCAAATTTCTCTCTTTCTCATTTCCACCACAACAATCTCACTTTTAGCTCTGAGATACTGGAAATTAAGTTAAATGTACACCGATTCTAGATTTTTTTCTTTTAAAAAGTGTTGTATTTTGATTTTTTCTTCAGTAAATTATAAAATCTTAGTATTGTGCAGGAAAAGTTGACAGAATAATGACTCCTTCAAATCTAGCCATATATGAGGGTTTAGGATTAGAGGTAACGGACTTCCGGGAGAACATGGCGGACAGATAGCAGCAGCTACGGAGGCTCTCTGAAAGACTCAGCTTAGAATTCAGGAATGGTGCAGAGCAAGGAGTCATAAGCAGGTGGAGATATGCTCTGCTGACCCAGGAACGAACTGGGCTGACAGAAACCAACTTGGAATGCAGTCCTGGTGCTAGAGGGGCCTCAGTGTGGAGGCTGTAGCCCGCACCATTGGAAGCCGCGATTTGGGTATCCCGCCGCGCGGCAGCTGCGTCTACATCGGCTCGGCAGGGAGAGAGACGCACAGGAGCTCTGAGAACGGGAATCGGCGAATGGAGTTGAAAACAGGATGGGCAGGGAGCTGTGCACTGACTTGTGGTGAGGTGAGTGAGAGAAACTGACACTCTCCCACAGTTTAATGAGACTCCAGCGGAAGACATTCTGGGACTGGGCAGATTTGCGGGAGCGGGGTGCTGCAGCAACTTCAGCCACGTATCCCCATCTCAAGCGGGATTGGTGAGAAGTGCCTAGCCTATGTGATGCTGCTGGTGGAGACCCAGTAGGCTAGCACAACCCAGATCCCAGAGCCTGAGGGTGACCTGGAGGGGCAGGCCCCGCATAGGCTGCCTGATCTACAATTTCCTGGTGTGCTGCGGTGGGTGGGAACACCTAGCTGGCGCAATTCGATCAGGCTGTGGCTGACAGGGAGGGAAGCTGGGCCTCCTATATACCCTTGCATATATAAGGAACAAAGAATATGGGAAGAGGCAGCAACAAGAAAGGCTTCTTGGCCCCCAATCCTGAGAAACAGGCAATAGCGGACACCGCACCAATAGACATAAAGCACCATCTAGAGAGCCTCATAGATCAGTTCAGGAATGAAGTTATTAATGACCTGAAGCTAGAAATAAGCAGAATAGTTAGAAAAATGCTAAGCACCACCCAAGAAAAAACAGATGGTGGAATGGAAGAACAGAAAAAGAGGGGAGAATTGTTTGATGAAGAAAATAGAGAAAGCATAGAATATGTGAAGCAGGTTCAAAGAGACTACCAGGAAACTAAAAACTCTATCAAAAACTGGCATAACAGCTGGAAAGCAACTAAGGACAGACTATCTGAACTGGAGGGCAGATTTGCAATATGGGAGAATGAAATGAAAAACTTCTTAAAAATAACAAAGAAACAAACAGCAATAATACAAAGACTAGAAGATGATAAGAGGATCCATAACTTAAGAATTAAGAACATAAAAGAAGAAGTAGGGACACAAACAAATGAGCTACAAAATCTACTCACAGAGATAATCCAGGAGAATTTTCCTAATTTAGCAAAAGGTAAAGGTACTCAGATGTATGAGGCATACAGGACCCCAGCCACCTACAACCAAACAGAGCAACACCCAGGCATATAATAATAAAAATTCCAGAAATTCAATACAAGAACAGAATATTAAAAGCTGTCAGAGATAAGAAACAGACCACTTACAAGGGAACTCCCATCAGAATTACAGCAGATTTCTCTGCACAAGCCATCAAATCATGAAGAGCATGGGGGGAAATAATTCAAGCTTTGAAAGATAATAATCTCCAGCCAAGATTGATATATCCTGCACAACTATCCCTGTAAATTGATGGAAAAACAAGGTGCTTCCAGGATAAAGAGGAACTAGGGGAATTTGCAACCACCAATTCAACTCTACAGAGAATACTGCAGGATATTCTAAAAAAGAAAAATACGAAGAATCCAGAAATAGTGGCAGAGAGGCCACAATGAATGGAGCAGAAAACAAAATGAAGAAGACAAACTGACAACTAATGACAGAAAAAGAGCTCAACAGAAATGAGGCAGAGAAGACTGGATGATAGGAACAGCTATTTTGGAGAAAATGATGTCTTAATAGGCAATACTGATTTAGTATCATCTTGTTTTGAAGTCTCATCAAGCTTTTGTTCTTCTGTCTCCATTGGTCTAAACAGGTTGTATCTTATTGGATTTTATTATGTATGATAGTATAAGCAAAAACTTTTAAAGACAAGGAGATTATACAGAAACCATTGTTCATTTGCTGTTAGTTGATTCTAAATACCCTGTAATGCTGTCATTCTCTTAAATGGTTTTACATTGTTTTGATATATTTGATGCTACTGTATACGAAGTTATACTCAAAGATTTCAAGGAAAGAGACAATATGGTAACTACTTTTATGTCAGGATTATCTTGTGGTGAAACACTATTCTGCTTAAATGGTTATGTTTTGATCTGCGCTGTTTTGTTGTTATGCCCTCTTTTATCTCAGTCTCCACTTCATTATTTTTTTTATTTTTATCCTTTTAATTAAGGGAAAAATAAAGAAAAATATAGCAGGTTATATTATAGTAACCCACTTTGACTTTCCATTATCTTGATTTAAAGCCCTGTATTACTCT